CCATGATTTGAATCTTGTGGTTTCTTAACTTTCAAAAGATCTACTTATGGTCAATTGATTAATCATTTTAGAAAATTGACCATTAATACTATATGGTTCAACTCTGAGATAATCACCATCTGCATCTGTTCTCAAATTCCAACCATTTGTATTCGACCACAAATCATAATAATTTCCTTTCCATAATGTTAATTGTTCGAAACATCTCCAACTCTTTGAAAATGCAGATTTCCAAATTTCCAATACTCCTGAAGAGTCTTCTGGTAACCATAATGAATGAGTCAATCCAGCTCCATGATAACCTATGAGAAAATCAGAATTGTGAACCTTTTGAATTTGCTCAACAAGTGAAAGTGATGCAAAATCAATCTTTTCAATTGTAAAATTGGTGCTATGAAGTGGATGCATCCTAAAGAATGCCATCAATTCATCTTCATTACTAATCTGCCTTCCCATAAATTGATGATTAATACCATTCTTAACGTATGGTTTTCTGCTGATGAATAAACCTTTCACCATATCTCCCTTCTTCATTTCTCTCTTCTTAATACCCAATAATTGAATGATTCTATTAGCAAAGGATGAGACGAGAGGTATTTTGGAATGACACATTCTTGGATCTTGTTTATCAAAATCCAACACATGAGAAAGGAAATGTGTTGCATAACCAGCATGTTGAAAGATTGCTCTCTCAAATCTCACAGTTGAATTATTGAATTGTGAAGCTTTCATCATTGGTCTTTTGAGTGAAAAGACAGAATTCCACAGAAAATCAAATGGACCATCATAATGATCATCCAATAAAACAATTTGAACTTGAGAACTGTTGAGTTGAAACATTTCAATCATGAGATAAGTGGCAAAGAAATCAGTCATTGAATGAAACATGTTCACATGCTCATCTTGTTCTCTCGAAACAAAGATTGTTATGCCATCAATGAATTGGATTGGTTTCTCAAAGGGAGATTCAAATGTGGAAAAACTTGAAAAGACATCCTTTCCAAAATCTTTGGAAAAATCATCAACACTAAAGAATCTATCAGTTCTCTTGCAATTTCCATTCAACGCACCATATTCATAATGATAATAAGTTGGTTTCTTACAGAAATAACCAGGTCTATATTTTAGACATGATGCATGTAACATCTTGGAAAAGTCAAATACAATATTCTCTCCATCACATACAGTATGTGGAAATGTTGCTGGAGGTAGATGAAGGTTGTTGTGTTTGTAACATGTTAATTGTGAAGGATATGAGTTATCATTATAACTTCTCAATAATGAATGTTGATGCCTTTCACACATGATCAACTTTTGTTGTTTCCATCTTTCAAGCATTCCACATCCAAAGTCAGTTTCACACAATTCAATTTGTGTTTGGAATTGATTTCCAAGTTGTCTACCCTGACCTACACTCTCGTAGCATGTAAGTGGTGGAATAGACACATGTTTGTTGATGTTGATGTTGAAAGTGTTGTTTACAGGGCTTGATACTGATTTGATGGAAGTCTCATTTGTATTTCCAATTTCTTTGATTTTACTACTAGTTTCGGTTGATTTGAGAGATGTCTTTGGAGTTTGAACAATGGGTGAAAGATGGGATAGACTATCATTAATAACTACAATTTCCTCATTGTCGACATTATCAATGCTCCTAGAAGATGACAGGATTTCACTCCTCACATTAATAAACGATAAACCATTCATGTCTACTCTTAATACTCTCTTCAGTATTCCAAGAAATAGGATACTCATT